AAATCATGACTATCTCGCTCTCACTCAAATCCCTTGAAAAAAACAAAAAAAAAAAAAAAAAAAAAAAAAAAAAACCCTAGGAAAAGAACAGCTGTGCACGGGAAATCCGAAACAACCTCCCTCCGAGAACGGCGTGGACGGCGGCGTCAAGATCTGGAGGGACTGGGGCCCGGCCCCGCAACTTTTGTCGTTTGTGAATGTGGTGGGCCGTGGAGTGAGGCTGCTGGACTTCATTGGAATGAATCTCCCCCAAAAGCATCGAAAGATACAGAGAAGATTAACATGGTCCTGCGTGTGTCACGCAGATATCAAGAATCCAAATTGACCCAGAAAAAAAAAAAAAAGTTCGAAAAACCAAATTGGGAAAAAAAAGGAGGGAAGCGGGCGCGGTCGCGGGAGGTGCGCTAGCCGGTGCGTTAGCACTCGGCCTTCGACACTGCCTCGCATTAGTGCAGGCCTAACCGGCGGCGGGTAAGTCCAACGTGGACTCACTGCCACGGGTGGTAATCCATCTTCCTCGTTTTGACGAGGTTCTGTGGTTCTTCGCCATAGCCGAGGTTACCAGCGGTTACCAATGGTTGCTTTTGTTTTAGAGTCGATAACTACAGCCTGAAGTATAGCCCTCCGAAGTAGAAGGCGTGTTGGAAGTACTATTTGGTGTTTACCATTTGGAGTAGATAGGAAGCATGGAGGTCGAACCAACCAGACAAGGGGAGAGGGATGGAAGGGTGCAAGTCCCTAGTGATTATCGATTGGAGGAGGAAAGGGAGAGGGAAATGATTAGGCATGTTTTGAGGAAGGTATACTTCCAACGAACATAGACCCAGGCGAGATGGAAGTAAGTGGGAGGGAGGTAAAGTTCACCCTTAACTCATCCCTCGATGAGATTAAGATAAAAATGGCTCAAGGAAAGAACCGTCACAGTAAGTTTTCGAGATGGTGCCAGATTCCTGCCAAAGAAAGTAAAGGAAGATGTTGTCAGAGCGTACGAAGATGTCTGGATCAGGGACGAGGTTTTCGGGGAAGAGTTCAAACGAGGAAGGTTAAAAGTGGAAAGCCCTAACGTCATCTCGTACATCCCAAGAGCTCAGGACATCACGGATTGGATGCTGCAGAAGAAGTCAGACTTCATTGACCTAGCGGGGACTACATACCGCACCGAATTCAAGCCGTGGCTGACTCGCGCGGAGATTCGAGATTGGAGGCAACTGCTTCACCAGAACGCCTTCTGGGTCGTGGCAGTGGGTATTCAGCTTGACGAGATGCCATTCACTCACGTCCATGTCGAGAAAGCAATTGGCAAGGTGATCGAGCAACACAAACCGGAGGCGGATGATACAGACCCAAAGCTGGTCAACCTGCGTTTTGATATTGACCCTGCATGCAAGGATAACATGAAGGACAAGATCTTCGTACAAACATGCCAAGGGGATGTTCTTGAAGTGAGGCTAGCCGACCCTGATTCAGATTGGTGCAAGCGCTGCCGCCCTTTCTTCCATACCGAATCAACCTGCCGCCGTGCGGGACGGACGATGACGCAACAACCGAGCAATCTGCTCTCCGGGGCAGTACCCCTAGGATCTGGCGGAAGTCGCCTACGTGGCGAATCGCCAGGTAAACAAAGAAGAATCAGCAAAGGAGGAGTGCATATCCAAGTAGACCTCCAAGCAGAGGAATCGGATAGCTCCACAGGATCACGTGCCACCACTTCGGCAGCAGGTAAGCGGAAGTCAGGTCGTCTTCGTATGGATGCGCTTTCGAAAGGTCAGTCTGTAGTGGAATCAAGAATATTGCCGATAGTATGTACCTCGGCTAGGAACGGGTGGTGGTTCGTTGCATGGATTGGTTCAGATGGTGTTCCTCTGTTGTTTAATTCAGTCTGTTCGGAATCCCCTATGCCTCGTGCAACAGTTTCAATGTCCAAAACATTGTTCCGGGACAAGTTTGCTTTGCGGATTGTTGAAGTCTCGATGCCTAGGCTTTTGGTAGATATCGAAGGCAAGAGATGTCGATGTTATACCCCTCTCTTTGATGGTCATTTTCTACCTGCCCAACTGGAACAGCTGGAGCAGGAAGGTCTCCGCCTTTACCCGTTGACCTGGCTACTGGAAGGGAGGAAACCGGAATTGCGCCGAATCAGAGTCTCTCCTTGTGTGTCAGCAAAATTCCTGTCCGATCTAAATATCAAATTAGGAAGGGACAAGAAATTGGACTCCCCTTTCCTGAAGCGTTTTTTAACAGAAGAGTGGCCATTCTCGGCTCCCGTTGGTGATTCCCAGATCCAAGCTGCTGGAATGGTAGACCCTAATGGGCAGACTCAGATTGGCCGCGTGGAATGTACGAGGGTTAGGGGATACGTCAGGCAGGAATAAGAAAGGTAGGCTGAAGAGTTGGATGCATGAGCGCAAGATCGACATTCTATGTATTCAGGAAAGTAAGCTCTCAGAAGACAAAATTGCCGAGTTGGGTTCATGGTGGGACGGACCGCAAATTTGGTCGCCAACCAGAGGTTCAAAAGGGGAAGTTGCAGTCTTAATCCATAGGAATTTACAGGCAGAGATAATTGGTTTTTGTGCGGAGCTGTGAGGTAGGTGGGCGTGGATTAAACTGTGGATTGAGAATC